CAGATTTCGGAATGTTTAGAGAAATGAAGGATATGCCTTTATCCATTTTTTGCAGCAATTCCACTTTTTGTTTAATGGACTTCGAAACATACTTTCGCTTTGTAGATCCTTTACATATTAGTAAATATATATTGGAAATTCTATTTGACATAATCGAAAGTTCAAGCTTACTTTTAAAAAATTGCTCTAACAGTCTGCAAACTAATAAGCCGGATCCAATTCAAAGATTAAGGAACAACGCAGTCTGCAAAATTAACTGAATTAAATAATTTTAGCTTAGCTTATACTGGCCATTATACATTAAACCCACATGCGTAAACGTATTATGCGCAAGCGCACACGCATATTCGCAGCCAAAAAGGTCTTATGCGCATGCGTCAATGTGACCCATGCGCAGAAAGTTTGTAGCTTTGAGGTCCAGATTATAGATCATTCTGGATTATAGGTGTCCAAATTAAGGACTTTTGACTGTATCAAATTTAGTCAACATAATTCAAAGCAATGAACAAAATGGTTTTATTCTTTATCTAAGAATTCAGAACAGAAAATAGTTTTCTCTATTTCACATTCTCACAACAATAAGAAATAATAAGGAATTTACACCCCCTTATCTTAGTCAGATCAGGCAATTAGATTACAGGAGAGAAGGTTCAGAAGACCTTCTAACATGGGTATTTTCTTTCCTTGTCAAAAAATTTTGCTGATCTAATGTGCACATTGTATGTCTATTATTTGACTTATTTTTATGATATGAAATGTTCATTAGATTTTTGCCATACTTTTGTTACTCCTTTACAGCAAAAGTTTCATAACAAATTTTATATGTGGCAGCATAGAGTAAACTTTCAGTTAAGCAAAAATTAAAGCTCACTGAAGCTACTGATTCTGTTTCTGAAGAAACTACTGATGAATGGATGGCCAAATTAAAGTTGGTTTTTACAAAATATTATGAATGAGATGTAGTGCCAACAGGACCACAGTACTTTTCTAAATAATTTCTGATAAAGAAAAATCACAAAAATAAGAGATCATGGTGGGAAAAATAAGAGCTGAAATATCATTTTGACATGAATAAAATAAAAGTTTGTAATGGTGGTAGTAATCAATCTACCACTTTTCATTACTTACTTTTTAGGTGGTGCCAATAAAATTGGTTGCTGTCATGATTATTTCTTTTATTACTCTCAGCATATACTACTAAACTCAAACAACTGAATCATACTGAAGAATTCTGAAGCTAAACATTCTATAAAACATGCTGAATACAATATAAAAAATGCTACCACAATTTCTTGCAGAAGCATGGTAAAGGTGTGTTCATAAATGTGATGATTATTTTTTGGCCATGTTGCATGACATTCATCATGTATATGGCTGAATGACTCTAAAAATAGCCCTTTTAAGGGTCACTCCTGCTTTTGTTCTGTGAAACTGGAAAGAATTTAAACTGAATGGAACTAAAACATTTTACTTAAAAATAGCACTTCAGTAGCACCATCTAAGAAATATATAACTAAAAGTAGTAAGTAGATCACATGCTACTTCATTATTGATTTATCTAAAACATATAACAGATTGGAAGACAAGTTATGGAATGAAAAATTTTTCAGAATCTGCTCATGTAGTTAGATTGAGTTAGCCAAAAAGCAGAAGTCCTTAGTCATTCACACTAATGGGAGAGTTTTAAGTCATCCTCTACCTTTCTTTTGACTGTCTATGCTATTCACAATGAGAAAACTTTTGAAAAAGTTGTGCACTGCAGTCTAGCTCTAAAACAAATTCTGGCTTAGTGCATATCGAGGAAAACTGCCAGTTACATCTTGCAGGAGGCAAGCTTTCAAAAATATCACCATTTTAGGTAATATTTACCAGCAAATCATTCATGTCATAAAAATACTGGGTTAACTCCTTCCATATTCAACATCTGGTTTACAGAATGGGACAAAGAAATTTAAACAGATGAAAAATCTCTTTTCTTTGGATAATTAATCCAGTTAAAAATTTCCAGATTCAAATGAATTAAATATGCCATCAAACATAACTCCTATAATACAGTCCCTCAATTAAGGCATTACTTAATGATTTAAAGCAGTCTATTGAAATGTAAGGCTAATAAACATTGAAGAAACCAAGAATATAAAAACTAAGGAGAAAAAGATATTGACTAATTCATTCACTTGAAATTCAATGGACTCTATTGTAATTAAAACCGGCTAGACTTTAGAACCAAGTCAAATCTGAGAGCTAGAATTTTAGGATAATATTTCACTTGAAGATTAAGCTCAAATCAATGAAAAAGGTACCTGGGTATTTTTGCGACGCACAAAAAAAATTGCTGTCTTTAAGATTAATCACTACATCTGATCTACTGCAAACTAATCCTACTTGACATCTCACGCAGGCTGTTTCTACTATTGTTTCATATAATTTTAACTAGAACTTAATACTATTTAATAAATGGGAGTTTTCTGCCCCAAAGTAAATAAACCACAAAGCTTTTAAAAATGGTAACTGGGAACCAGAGAATGAACTGCCAACTCATCTTTATCTAGCAGCTTTTAACAATTTCCAAATAGTTCCATCATGGACAGGTATTTCTGCATATTCTATTACAAGGCAAAATGCTTTGGGAATTTATGTGTCGCAAGTAACATAAGGACCAAAAACCCTTTTGAAGTCATATTAACAGCATTTAACCTGCGGGAAGGCACGTGGGGTGTATCATACCCCAACCCTACATAAAAGTGGAATATTCCTAACTTGTGAAACTGAAATTCTGTGCTGCTTTCAGTAGCTGAGTTTTTAGTTGTGTTTGACTTTCAGAACCGCTTTTTCTTTGCCTGTGTGTTTCAAAAAAAGATTTATCGGTATTTTGTTGGAACTGGGGTATGACACACCCCACGCGCCTGTCCGTGTAAGTGTTTTTCTGACTGATATATTAGTTCAGAAATTTATTTCTAGAGTGTAACAGTAAATAGTTCTACTCGAAAGTGATTTTAAAGTACTTGACATTAAATTCTTAAAAATTTCTAACTGCATTATGGTAAAAAGAATGAGTCCCTATGAACTGGAGATGCAACGCATGCGAGATTTATTAGAAATATTTGAAAGCGATGAAGATTGCATTTCGGAAACTGAAGATGAAACTAAGAATATTTTCTACAATGTTTTGGTTTCGAAAAAAATGAAACATTAATTTCTGATGTTCCTAAAAAAGGAAAAACTGTTCTTATGCTTTATATAATGATCATTATAACATTATATAACGATCATACTATAGATGATACTATTCGAGAAAATAAAGCGTTAGAAATTATGTTTTAATAATATAACTAAAGGAGCAGTGGATATGGGGGATGGAATATCAGCCAATTATTCAATTGCCAGAATAACGAGCAGGTGGCCAATGGTAATTTTCTTTCCTGCACTGAATGTTGCTGTAATAAATGCTTGAATTATATTACATTCAACTGCTAATCCACCAACAAGAAACAGAAGCCTGTTTTTGAAGGACTTAGCATTACAATTAATGAAAAAGGTATTGAACAAAGATTAGAGATTAATACTTTTCCAAGAAATTGACGTACTGCATGCAAAACAAAATCAGAAGTTTCGATGGAGAATTAAAACGAATACATGAAATTAGAAACAACTAAGTATGAAAGATGTGTTAAATTTTTTGCCCTCGTGCCAAGGACAGAAGAACGTGAATGCAATGTTTAAAATGTGAAAACATTCTGTGCCAAGAACACATGAATGTATTTTGTTCAAAGTGTGAAGAAATAAAAAAAGCATGGTGTATTAGAGATGCAATGAAACTTAGAGGCAAGATGTTTATTATTTTCATTTATCTTAATTTTAACTCTAAGATTATTTCGGAAATTAATTTTTTGAAACCCAATTATTATTCACTTATTTATAATACACGAGAAAAAAAAAAGTTTTAAAACTAAATAATACTATTTTTATTGTATTTTAAATATTGGGGTATGTGATACCCCACGCGCCCGTTCTAGTAACTTTTCTTGGTGCGCCTTCCGCCGGGTTAAGAAACAGTATGCAAATAAGTGTAAATGAGAAGATGTATGCAAGAATTAAATGTATAAGTAATATTTTTCTAATATTTTTCTACATTTTACTTTTTTGTTATGTCTATATTTTCTAGTCAGCAGTTTTTTTTTTTTTTTTTCATGTTTCACAATGTATGCTTGACAATTTTCTTTTACAGTAGCTATTATAATACAAAAGCACTAGTGCATGTTTTGAAGATTTTGTTGATATGGCTAATATGATGGAAAACTCAACTGAATTTTCAAATACAAAAATTTTGATTCTAACTAGAATAGTGGAAAAAGCAGAGAAAAGATTTTTTTGTTTTTACAGCTATAGATATTATAGAAATGATACAAAGATGAAAGACTGCATTGAGAATGTGGCAAGTGTCCATGAATCAGAAAATGAAGAACGTTCAATTTGTTAGCCAAATGTGAAAATTCTGAAAAGACAAACAACAAAAAAAAAAAAAAAAAAAAAAAAAAAGCATAACAAATGGTTTTTTTCAGTTGTAAGACTATAGGCTCAGTTCCCTTTCAACTTTCTTGAATTGAAAATTAACTAAATTCTCACCAAAGCCTTGTACTTTTACTTAGAATGCTTCCCTTTATGGATAATATACTCATCTTGTTAACCTAAAAAATTATATGACTATTACGAGAAAACTCCAAAACTTTCTAAATTACATTCCACATATTTAGCTCAGCATGTTCATTTAGGTCGAGGGTTTCTCAATTACACTGAAGAATTCAGATGCATTTAAAGAAGAGCTGTGATGCAAATCAAATTCAAACATTTAACCTCCATGAAAAATTTATGATAAAATTTCACATTTCTTTCTTTTTTAAAACAAAAAAATCCCTTTTATATTTGCATTTATACTCCGAGAAATTTGTTGTATATAAATTGAAAATTAAAAAAAGAAACATAATTCTTAAATAACTTACAATGGACTGGAAGCTTTTCTTTGGTGCCTCCAATAAAAATTATCATGAGCTTCAGAAGTTCTTGCAGTATACTGTTCATCATACTGTTTCCTATTATCAACATTTACAAGAGTACTATAAGCATTATTCAACTCAACAAATTTTGTATGCTGTGATGTGTCTCCTGGCTTCTTATCAGGATGCAACTATTAAAAAATTAAATTAAAAATGGATTTAAAAAATACAGCTGGTATTGCTATGTATTATATAAAATATGGGCACTTTCTGATTACCTGCACCTCCTGAAAAGTATTCACGATACAATGTGATATGGCACCAAAGAAATCAATCCATGATGTCGCCAAAATATTTTTATATTGAAACCCAGGTATGGGAACACATATAGCAAATGAGTGCTGGTGATTAATGCTTGTTTTTGTTGCAATGAGGACAAACATTAGTGCTTGTTTTTCTTCCAAATGCATTCTTTTCTTCTTTGACTTTTTTAAAAGCTAAAACGGATCTCTACATATATGGGGAAAAAAAGGGAAAAAAAAAGGGGAAGTGTGTTATTATGGATGTTACTTGCATTTTTAATTTTGTTTATTGGTAGCCATTTTATGCAATTCTTAGCGTGGTGCCATATTTGAAAACGGCTGTCTTTTGCAATCACAGGCCTGTCAAAAAATCAGTAACCAGTGGTTGGTGACTTTTGTGAAGAGGTGCAGATAACTTGCAGTGCAGTGAAGAGGTGAGACACTTTGAATTATGTTGTGAATTTTCAAACATTTGGTTTATTTTCCATTTTTAATCTATTTAGTAACTTATATATGCTTTACATTGACTAAACGCAGAAGAAATTTAGAGCAGTTACCAAGACCAAAGTTTCCTACCAAGTCTAAAGCTAGTTTTTCAAAATTATTTTTAATGTATGGGACAAAGTGGGAAAAAAACATTTTTTGAATAGTTCTGCCATTCCCCAAGCATTAGATCAAACTTTATAATATTCTAATCAATGAGCCCCTTAAATGAGTTAGGTTTCTTATTATGCAATAATAAAAGACATATATTTATGATCTCCAGATGCATTTCCACTAAGTAAAAGAGGCAACCTATCATTATCCAGTTTAAAATCTTTTGCACATTTCTCTTTGAACAGAGGCATAGCTAGGGTTTTCAGCGCCCGGAGACAACTGAAGATTTTGCGCCCCTTTCTGTGTGCCACGAATGGAAAACACTTCATTCTAAAATTTCGTACCATCAATTTGGCGCCCCCTGGATGCTGCAGCCGGGAACAGATGTTCCCCTTCGCCTCTCCCTAGCTACGCCACTGTTTTTGAACTGTAGCTATGTCAAGTTTAGCTAAAACAGGGAATCAACCCTTATTCAGTTTAAAATCTTTTGTGTGTTTCCCCTCAAACCATGCATATGCAGAATTTGGCAAACCTGAAATTACCTATTGCATTTACTTGAAAACTTGCTTCCATCGAATATAAGACCCTACTTATATTTTAGGATAAACTGTTAAAAAAAAAAAAACATAGATGAATGCTTATTTTGCAGCAATTCTGAGAAAGAGAATTTTAAGATTTTTCCTTTCCCTCCAAATTTCCATGAAATAACAGTACCATCAGCTGTTGCCCAATAACTTTATAAATGATATCTTGATGCTTGCTTGTTTTCAGAAACATCAGTAATTAGTACAATGGATGCAAGCCTTCAATCAGATTGCTCAGCTAGATATGGCTATTATAATTAGCATTGGTTATGTAGTTTACATACACAGTAATTATCTGCGTGATTTATTATGCATTTAAACAATATTATTGTTCTACATAGTATGCTAATTAAATTCCTCCCTCTCATTCTGAAATTTCATTTATCAAAATAGCCATTTAATAGAGACCTTATTGAAGTTTAGAACAAAATGTCGTACAAAAGAAGAGGGTTTTACTTTCAAGTAAATATGGTACTTATAAGTCATTTTTCATTTTAATTTCAACTCAGATATACATATTTCTCGGATCTGCTTTTATAACTTACTTCCTTACACAGTTTTATATAAGCCTTCTTCACATCTTGAGTTGAACAAGTATTCTTTAAACCTAGGATTTCATAAGGGCTCCTAAAAAGAAAATAAAACATTAAGCTAACAACAAGCAATTGTTTCTTTATGAAGCATATACTCCTTAATTACTTTTGGAAGGAATATGCAACTGATAGTTAATGATACTGCTAATAATACAGAGCTTCTAAAAAAAGATTCATTGATTTTCCTATATATACATATTCAAAAGTGCTGCACATTCAAATATGAGTGATATTTGAAAATAACTGAAAAACTCATCTAGTTTGCACACCAAGACTGTGCCTGGATTAAGTTACCTGGATATGCTGCAGATGTAGTTGTTTCCACAAATGGCTCCTGCCAGAGTCGTAGCTAGGGTTTTCAGCGCCCAGGGACAACTGAAGGTTTCGTGCCCCCCTACTGCTTGCCAAGGATGGAAAACATTTAATTCTAAAATGTCATAACATCAGTTTGTCGCCCCTTGGATTCTGTGCCCGGGGACAGATGCCCCCCTCTAGCTACGTCTCTGGCTTCTGGTTCCAGGGATTCTGTCTTCCAAAAGCACTGGGCCCCGTTTCACTGGAACACTCAAGTTTGTCAATATCTGAAAGGTGAACTTCGACATCACTGGAACAGGCACGTTGATGAGACATATGATGTTCCTTTGTTCTTTTCACCCCCAGGTTACCTGACTTAATGCTAAAAACCTTGTTTATATATCCCCATTGCCAAACACATTAGAAGAGCTCGAGGAATGGATTAATGCCATCGTGATAATCATTGACAGGATGATGTTAAAAAATTTGTGGAATGAGTTCAACTATTGCTTGGATGTGTATTGTGTGATCTAGAGGGCACACATATAATATTTGTAGAGTATGTAGAAAACTTGAGAGAGTTTGTGGTTATTTTCATGCATCACCTATATCTAATATTTTTTAATATACCCCTAATACTTGTATAATGTTTTTGACTAAATAGCATTTTCAAAAAGAATGAATTTTTTAGTACTTGGGTTTTAAAAAAAAAAGAAGTTATGATCTGTAATTGCAGATATATGCATACTTTTCCTGCCTTAAGTTACATTGTAAATATAGAATAGATCTTTTGGGTATGCAATTACACATATTCATCTCGTTTTGCACCTACAGCCGAAAAAGAATATACTATTTGACCATCAAAACTATGAAAGAACACATTTTACCTTCATTATACTAATTCATATTGCTAAATTTTATACTTTTGGGTTAATTTGGCATGTCAATTTATAATGTTTAAGTGTACATGATTTAAAAAAAAAAAAAAAAAAAAAAAAAAAAAGACTACATCACTATATACATGTATGCATATCATTTAGATGGCAAGATGCAACTGTTAATGATAGACAACTGATCCATGAAGAAATTAATGTGCTTGTAGCAAGTTGCCTATATTTCATTCTTGCAGACAAATGAACTTGCAAGCCAAAGAAGCAAGAGGAGAGTGCGTACTTTCTGAACGAAATTTTGGCTAAGATTGTTTCAGCCATAGTTTCATTTTGTTTTGATTATCTTTTGTGCTTCTGTTCATAAAATTAAAAATTATTATTGACTGAAGTGCTACGTAAGTACTTAAATCATTAGCACTATGTAAGAATCGTGCAAGAAAGATTAGTTTTTAAATGACCCAGTTCACAGAGATTTCTTATAAACATATTTTGAATTACTATTCACAAAACTATATTCAAATTTAAGAAACGTATTATGTACACTAAATCTTTAAGCAAATTTTTATGGCAACATATATATTAATTGGCAATTAAGAGCAGTATTATAATAAATAGAATATTCTTAGTTTAGTAGATTTGCAGTAAAATATAGCCTATAATGTTTTTCAAAATATTTTACAAAATCTTTATTGTTTATAATAATATGTCAACATATAATGTTGACTAAATGTTAAAGAAAAATTTATAAATTAGAAAAACATTTACAATACGTCTAAATATTAAAAATAAGATCACTGATATTTTTCCATAAGCATTAGCAATTTAAGTGAAACATAGATAAGAGGGCTAGCAGGAAAGAGATTAAAATGTTATTAAATAATGGAAAAACAGCAAAACATAATTTAACTTTCTAACAAACTTCATATTTTCATTCTTCTATCATGCCAATATCTTTCAAGTAAATGATTTTAAAATTTTATTTTTAATTTGAATTCGTTTGTTTAGAAACTAGGTTTGAAAGAACATTCATTGCAGGTGATTTATCAAAACGTATCGTCACAACTGATGCCAGAAAATATGTAAACTGATTAAAGAACTGCACTCCATCACTTACTTATTGATGTCAGATATCAAAAATATCACCTTTAAATGATTATATTGTATTATTTGAACATGGCAATGCACACAAAGCCTATCTGCCTAAGAGTCTCCGTAGAAAACTTTTTTAGGGAAACTAGCTCATATTCATGTTACACAAAGGAAAAACCATAAAAGTGATCCTGATTGCCTCGAATCATTAAATACTCCCAGTATTCAATGATCTTAATCACCTGGCCACTGGTGCAACCCACCTTCAAATGTGGTTGATTCCAAACATTGTTAAATGTATATACTGGAAAATGAAACATCTTATTGATATTCGTTTACTCACGTATCATTATGGAGAATGAATATTTTGTATTTCTTGATTATTCTGCTGAGCTGCTAGGTTTGTCTTTCGAGATGAGTTTAATTGTATATCCTGGTTTTCTATTTTTTTATCCTAAAATACTTGATATAATTCTGCGATAGTTTCTAAATTTGTAATCAGTTTATCCTAAGTAACTGAGAAAACGCTAGGTTTCATTATCTCAAAATGATGTAATCTCCTCTAAAGCTAGGCATATGTTCAATACTGTGTGCATTTCCCATATACCTGCACCAAAAGAGATTGAAAAAACCTTAATACTTCCCGAAATACTGACCTGATTCATTAATTTTCATGACACGTATAGGCATGTGTCTGCATCACGGCATTCGATTTTTCCCACTTCACACTAAATCCTAGATTTATGTGTATTTTCGTAACTGTTACCAATTAAAAACTTAACACACTGAAAAAAAAAATAATTTAAAATTATTTTCACCCAAGAAACGACTAGTGAATTCTTTAGTTATATAACTGTCCTCACCTCCTTCTATACCGAGTTCTATAATGTTTTATTAACACTGTATTATATATATTCGGGTTCCGAGTCCACACATCAAATACTCGAAATCTGTTAATAACATCGATTCTAATAAGCATCCTCCGTTTGCTTTGTTTACTCTCTTCTCGAAGAAAGAAGTCAAATAAAATAATTAACTTTAAGGGTACAAATAAAGTTTCAGCTAAAAACAGGTCTTTTAAAGACATTTCCATGAGCTGGCAAGCAGAAAACCAGAACTACCCAACGGACAAAGCCAACACCGACTCTACTACAAGCCAGATGGCGGTTTTGTGACGTCACAAGTTGTGGTCATCGGGGATTTGATGCGTCGTCCGTTGTAACGAACGAAGCGTGCTTGTTGCTATCGCTATTTTACAGTGTCCTTTTGTTGACATATTTGTTGGTCGATTCCGACTTAATTTTGACAAATATGGGTGGATGTGTTGCATCAAATTGTTCCAATCATTCAAAAAATAAGTTTAGGACGTTTCGCCAAAAATGAAGAAAATGGATAATTAATTCTCGTCAAAATCAATGGATTCCGGTCTCAAAAGCATGTTTTTGAGGTAAGTTCAGCTTCGAATTTTCTCATAGAATGTTAGAATAAATTACTCTTCGTATTTCTTTAAAACGTGCATTTTCGTTTAACTATCATTTATTAATGATCAAATGATTTTATAAATACAAAATAAACTGCGGAATGTGTGTGTGTTTTTGTGCAGTAAATTATAGCCGATACTGTTTGTGATGTTTCTTTTATTATCGTTTGTAAAATTGTACACTACATTTCATGTAAATTTTGTGCTTGGTTAGAAATGTGATATGACTTTTCGTGTTTCAATTTTACTCTACGATTGGTAATTTAAAGTCGCATGCTATATTTTGATGTATTGTCACCAAACCTGTTGGTTTGCACCTTTGTTAAAAATTGGATACATAGTTTATGATCTAAATTATAAATTATTTAGGTTTTTCGTTATATTAAGATAAATAAATTGTGTATTTGTCTAGGCATTTTGAAGAAGTATTAATTTAAATATTCTATGCATCATTTTGATCCTATTATCATGCTTTTATGTTATAGTAAACCTTCATGTTGTATTTCTAACTATAGTTACTTTAAATTTATTTTCAATGTGTGAACAGGAAATATGTTTTAATTAGCAGTATTAATTAATTAATTTTGCAAATTTAGGGGGGATTTAAAAGTCCTCCTGAAATTTTTAAATTATGCTTTCTATGTGAAAAAATAATTCAAAATTTTCAAGACAAAATAATATGTGGAAATATAACTATGGACGAAGAATTTATAAATATGCAAAATCAGATGAGGTAAATATTCCCTCCTGTTACAATATCAAAACAAAGATCATAAAATGTTTGACTGCACGTGGAATTTTTTTTTTTTTTTTTTTCAAGAAGCTTATTCAAAATAAAAAGCAGCATGAGGAAAGTTTTGAAGCTCCTGCTTTTAAAAGGAAGAAACTAAATTAGAATCTGAATCGACAGTTTAAGAAGTTTTTACTGTTCAGTTCTGTCTGTGAAAAAGTACATTAGTTATTGCTGAAAAATTGTTGCTTATCTCTTAGAACAATAGTTATACCCACGAGTAGCTGAATGGTTAAGGTTACTGAATGGTAAGAGTACATTTTCTGTTCTTTTTCTGAACATGCTGTCTGCATGTGAATACAAGCCAGTTCTCATTAGAAAGTCCTTCACCATGAGCAGATAGCACTTTTGAGCTTTGTGATAGTCAATTAACCAAACTGTTATGAATATTAGATAATAAGCTTAACATTGGTGAAGATCTTTCTCGTAAATTTGACATGGAATATCTCTTGGTCTGCTAAATCAAATTTACTTTTGTGTGACCTTAAATCAGAGGCACCAATCGTGAATCTGTTTTGGCGTGTTTTAAGAATTATAAATGAAAAATTTATTGCTACTGTGGAAGAATGCTCAACTAATGTTTACCTTACTAATCAATTCTTATAGTATTGTAATGGCTTGCTCTGTTGCAAATTTTTCGCTAACCAGAAACTTTCAGTACTGCATTTCCTTTAATTGTGTTTTTGTTTATGCCCTTTCAGTTATAATTCTTATAATCATAGGGATAATGAAAGTATTTAATTACTTTATATTTAAGAAATAATTAAGTTTTTTTTATTTATGGTAATATTTTGCACAGATTATAAAGTAAACATTTCACAAAAGAGAGCATATATTTTCGGGAATATTGTTTAAAGTAAAAATGATATCAGTTTTTAAACATTATATATATATATTAAGAAAATAAAATCAGGCTCTAGTGTAGAATTGGGTGCCCCTTTGATTAGCGACATTTTTTTTTTTTTTTTTTTTTTGGCAATGAAACCTCGCTTCAGGTTACCATGATAGTTTTAACTTTGTTTTAGCTTCCTTATTTAAATGAAAATAGATTGATGTGTACATGGACAAATTTAAGGCAGTGCGCAATGCCTAGTTTGTGCAATTCTAGGATGCTTTTTTAAGTGAAAACATATCGATGTGTACATGGACACAGAGTTCGTGCAATTCTTTTTTTTCCTTTTACTTATTACATGCTCCGCCTTTAGGCACTACAGGAAAAGGAGGAATGCCCCGTGGAGGTCTTGCTAAAATCCTAGTATACGGTGCAGCCTTGGTGCAATTTTGAAAATTATCGCCAACATCAAAATGACCTGTTTAACTACTCATCGTATATGTCCCGTTTACTGCTCATCATAAAGTGGGCAAAAGTAGCCAAATCCCTTGTGCACCAGATACTAGGATTAAACTTTTAAAATCCTAGTATACGGTGCAGCCTTGGTGCGATTTTGAAACTTATCGCCAACACCAAAAATGACCCAAAGAACGTCTATGTATATACTATACACTATATACATAGTATATGCTATGTATAACTATATATATTCTTTGAATGACGCGTTTACTACTCATCATATATGTCCCGTTTTTACTGCTCATCATAAAGTCGCCAAAGTAGCCAAATCCTGTGTGCACCGGATACTAGGATTAAACCGAGGTCTTTTTAAGGTAAACTGGCTCATATCCAAGTTACACATGGGGAAAGCCACGAAAACGCCCATGCAGCCAGCCCATTTGCCGGGATTCGAACCCTGGACCGAACTACCAGTGTTCAGCGGCTTTTACCGCTTGCCCACTGGTGGGCTTGTGCGATTCTTTGACTTCTTATTTTGGTTTTGTATAGCGGCCATTTTGAAATTGTGCCTTCCTGACGCCAATCTTGGTGTCAAAAAAGAATCGCCAAAATACAAGGGACACCCAATTGTAAACTTTTACCTAAAATCACTACTCATCATGACACCAAATTTTTTAAAATGAATTTAGATCAGTAAAATATTCAAGACTATGCAAATTGTAAACAAAAACCAATGCACGTATAAAGAATTCTTTATTTGATTGCAGTCTTAATGTGACATGTCAGAACACTTTTCATATTTCACATTTTTATTTATTCATTAAAAATTATTATGCATTCAAGTTTGTTTTCATTTTAAACTTAGTTTTGAAAAGGCATAATAAATTATTTTCCAGAATATAATATCTGTTGTAATGTCCATAGATGGATTTATATTAAAATATAAAATTTTATTTGTTAGAAAATAATACAAATTTTCATAAATTCAACTGCTAAAGAAAAATACACAACAGTACATTTATAACAAATTTTATTACAGCATCTTTACACATATCATTATAACTGAAATCCGACACAATTTATTCTGTGTTGACACAAAAGAAATACAATGCAAGAATATAAAACTCGATCATTATAAGAAATGAACATTCGTAATATGAATCATTTATTATCTTCATAATAAATGGTTTTTCTCTCCTTTTAATGCAATATTCAGGTATAGAATCCAGTACAGTTCTGTTATGGGGAAGCCATCGGCAAATTTTTTGCTAAACTCGCCAAGAGACTGGTTCATATGAAGTCGCCAATGTTTACTTCTAAAGTCATTAGAATGTTAACTTTTTTAAGAAAATGTAAAAGAATGTCTTTTCAAAATTGGCAATGAGAATGCAAATTCCAAAGATGTAATGGTCACTTGTATTTCAATCAACAGGCCTTCAACACAAGTTTCCCATATTCTATTATAAAATCTCTGGTTTCAATGATAAATGTAAGAGAATACATGTCAATATAGAATAATGACAATACACCAATGGCATTTTAGGGAAAAAAAAAAAGTTTGCTTATTATCAATAATTAAATTTACAGTTATATGAAATAAAATAAACATACCCATTACATGCATCACAAGGTAATTTGTTTAAGAAATATTTTTCCATTCTTATGATACTCAGTTTCATAATATCCACAATTATCTGGGACATTTTTTTTTTACTTCTTCAGCACATAAAGCTCTTGCAATAACCAAAGATCTTTCCATCTATTTTATAATACTGACGATTTGTTACACAAGACACCACACTGATAAGCACAAATGTATATTACCAAATGAAGAGTTTTTGTTGAAAATAAGGAGGATGAATTATTCCAATACTTATATTTGGAATTAAATCATGCACACAATCAAGTTCTAGATATTCCTTTGTTAATCATTTTCTTTATCATTCAGGACTGATCGATATTCTTGAACAGAGTGGTGTGACAATGGATATTGCACATATTTTTTAGTCCACAAAGCACCAATTCTTAACTTCAATAAACTAAGATATATCCTATGCATTTTTACACCTGAGAGCCATTTCATGATAAAAACACTCCTTTCTTCGTTATGAATACCTGAAACAAAGAAAGAAAAAACAGAACAAATTTATTTTTTAGTCTTTAAAATCATATATCATATAACTATTATACAGGTGAAATGTTATAAAGACCTATGTATGTAACTTTGTAAAGACTTATAAATTAATATCATAATATATTTATAGAGCTTGGGTCAAAATTATTATTATGAAATATAATTATTGCTGTATGTCTCTTTTTCTTTTTAATAAACAACAAGGTGTTAGCCGAGGTTTCCAAGCCTCGTTACCAAAGTGTACGTGGTAGAGCCTTATCATGTCAGGAAAAGTGCAATGACAGAAAAGGATACCGGACGTCCCTTGCAGTCACACTTCATCATTCTTTATTTAATTATTTCAATAACTTTTCAAACTTTTAGTCTGTTTGCTTATTTTTCATGTTCCAAAACGAAAAGTCCCTAGGCCATTTCCAAGTCGTTTTCCAGTAGAAGCAGTCCGGCTAATTCTATCTTTGGATTTCTTAACAGTGAGATTTTTTATGGGGTGGGGTAGTTAGCCCCACACCCAACCCCCAACCTGGAGGACCAGTTCCCTGATATAATCCCCAGGGGCAGGGTGCCCGGCTATACCCCCAGACGCTGGGTACCCATTTTAGTCGCCTTTTACGACATGTATGAGCTACATTGGGACTATTCTTTCACACCCGGTCACCACACGGGTATATTAGTAGATTGATTTGTGCTTATTCACTGTGAATAATGTGAAGAGCAAATATTACTTGAGCTGAACATGTAGTACTATCCAGAAAGAGTCCATACAATTATTGCATAAATAGAAATATTAGAGTTAGATTGTGCAGAAAGAAGACATTATGGAATTTGTCTTTTTTCTACACTACTACACTATGCCATGTAATATGTTCTTTCTACACTACTACACTATGACTACACTATGCCATGTAATTGCAGGATACAAAATCTTAAATAATGATGAACATTTTAAGAAACACAATTGAAATACAAAATAGAAACTTTGGGAACTTGAGAAGTAACTGAGTATAAAGAAAATTTTAAATAATATAAAATCTTCAGTAATACCAAAAACTTGGTTAAATAACTAAATAAGCAAAGAATAATATCTACAAGTCCAGAATAAATTATGATATTTAGCATTTAAATGTATAATAAATATGCTTCTTAAATCTCAGCTGCTCAGCAACGATGACACGTAGATATTTAGCAAAGGCGCTTGTAAATACAATATAGAAATTTCAGGACCTTGAGAAGTAACTTAGTATAAAGCAAATTAAAAATTATATAAAATCTTGAGTAATATTAAAAACTTGGTTAAATAAGCAAAGAATAATATATACAAGTCCAAAATAAATTTTGGCATAAAGCAATTTAAATGTATAACAAACATGCTTCTTAAATCTCAGCTGCTCACCAAAGATGACACGTAGATATTTAGCAAAGATGCAGTTTGAGAGAACTTTAAAAATTACTTTTAAAGACAGCATCAATGTTACTTTGCAAGTGTCTTTTTTTTTCTTTATTGGACTTAATATCGTTTTTTTTTTCTTCTTATTGGAATATCGTCATTTTTCCTATTGCAAAGATTCTTGAGCATTTGTTGATATTTGTTGATATCCAAATTATCAGTTTGCTTATACTTTCACTTGTATGACCATTATCACAAATAATATCATCAAAGAGCATTTCTTTTAATTCTAAAATTTTAAAAGTCAAATTTGCAACAATTTTCCTCTGATTTTGTTCCAACAAAAAATCTTCATATTCTTCACTACACAGCTTATTTACAATTATAATAATTTATTTACAATAAATTTCCACCACGATCAAGATTCTTTATAAGATCATACGTTTGATCATGATTAACTGTGGAATTTATTGTAATGTTTTGTTTGCAGGTACAGCATTTCACTTTCTTTAAAACTGCATGACAACAGTAACCACCCAAATAAGTCAGAACTGGCAGATGGCTACTAATGCCCTTCACATCACTCTCCGTAATATTTAATGATGGGTAATATACTGTATTATCTAATTCTATAATATCATGAAGATTATCATCATATTCAAATGATGTTAAAGGGACAGTAGTATTTTTAATAATCAATTCTAACTTAATACTTGATTGTATTCTTAATTTTTTTTCACATTCTAATAACTGTCTCATTGAAATATGATACTGAGAACCAGAAAGTTGTCTGTATTTACCAAACCGGGCTTCAAGAGCATCAGTCTGAATTTTTCCTGGAAGTATATATTTCATTCCAAGCTCTTCAACACAATATCTAGTCAACTCCAGTATACCATAAGTAGTTTGTTTGAGAGCTGCATGAGTTTCTTTTGTAAGCATGCCTGTTGAACATTTCATTGATTCCCATGCATCTAACCAGTTAAGAAACTGATTGAGGAAAATAACTTTTGGATCAGAATCATCTGCTGTTAATGGCTTCATAAATTCACTCTTTTGATGTATACCTTTAAACATAGTTTTAACATTCATAATATCCCACCATTTGCATATTATGGATATAAACTCAGATGTATCTGAATAGTGTGGTATTTCATGCAAAGGACCCAAATGAGTCAGACCTTCAACAGTAAATTTATTGAAAATCTTAAGAACTAGTTCAATCTAGAACTGTTTCTCTAAATTAGAGTGGGAAAAACGTTTTACAATTAAACCATTAGAAAATGTAATCAATTGGTCATTTTCAGTTTCATGCAGCTTTCTCAGAGACATGAAAGAACAGTTTTGAAGTACTTCTTTGAAAGATCTTCAATATTTGAAAAATACATGCATGTACCAGGATTTTTTCTGGTTCACACAATTATTCCTTATATTTTTTAATAAATGAACTGCATCTATTACATAGAAAAGAGGCCTATTCCCATTCATTGGATGTTTGTAAACAAATGAAATGAATTACGTGGTGGATTTGAAAACAAACTCATGGCTTTTCTCTTTATTGCATTGTTGTCTGTAATAACACAAGTAACAATATTTCCATATTTTCAAGACCTCTAATCACTTTTTTTTATTACATAATGTAATGTTTCAAAATTTATCGTGTTAACAGGCATAATATGTACTACCTCTTTGAATGAAGATTCCAAACTGGATATCATGAAAGCAAATGCACTGGTTGCCGGACTGGAAGAATCAAATGCAACCCCAACGACAGAGCCTCTTTTATAATCAAAATATGGCTGAACATAAATTTGATCTACCAACAGAATTACTTTTCTTTCTCGATCCTCAAGGAAAGTTACACGATTTTTTATATATTTTTAAAAATTTTCATCAATATTGTTTCATTACATGGTGACAATACTAAATTGCTACAAATTTTTTTTAAAGTCGAAGGATGAGGCATAATAATACTGCCACTATCCCTTAAAAATTTATATGCATGTGGTGATATAGTATTTAACAAGCATGCTAACACTAGTACATCAGGATTGTATCTAAAATTATTTTTAGGGCAAAGTAAAAGATTCATCTGGTCTTGCAAAAATTTAATAATGCTCTCATTTTTGTCGTTAGAGATAGTTTGCAGTAATTCATTAATTATATCAATTGTTATGGTTAATTTTGAATTTAACTCTTTGGTTTGAAGATTAGCCAATTTATCTAAAACAGTCCTAATTTCATTAAAATTTGTAACTTTATGTGGGAATGTGTAAGGAGATAATTGCATAATAGATTTTTCTTTAATAAATACAGACATTTCTTGATTGTCATTCACAACTACAGAATAATCAATTGATGGCCCAGGACTAAAAACAATATGAATAAAGCAAACAGTTGAGGTATCTGGAACTGTGTATACATGCCAAAATGCTGATATTCCATAGCGATCAATACATGACAAAATATCATTAGAACAATTAATTTTCAAATCATTATTATACATTTCATATTCTTTAAGGCTTTCACGCAATGCTTTCTGTAAATTATGGCACTCGCGGGCAGTTTTTTTTTGCATCAGGATCTTCTCGTACAATGGTGCTACTTTTTGAACTGTATACAGATGGATAGTCCTTAAATATTGATGGCACTGTATTTTCTTTTAATCTACGCACCTGAAGTGGAGCAGAAATTAAAATTCCATTCTTAGAATCAAATGCTGAAGCTTCAACTTTAAAATCACTTTCCTTGAAATGCAATTCACAAACCTTTAGAGAAAATTAAAAAAAAAAAAAAAAAAAAAAAAACATTATGTTAATAGTAATAGTTTAAAAATCAGAGGGTTCATTCTGAGCATTTGTAGTAAAGAATATTCATTTCACAGATAGAACCAGAGAATATTTGCAGTGATTAAAGCTCTATTTCAATCCTTTATTTCTGTATATCCTGGTTTATGTAACAAAATATTATCATTTAAAAATTTCTGAATGAACCCTTATATGTAATTAGAATCTACACTATTAATTAATAACTCTACTTTACTTACCTTTGAACTCTTTTTGGGTGAAAAGTCTTTCCGTTGGATTGCAGAAAGCCACTCTCTCTTCAAATCTTCATTTTTAGGAAAGGAGAATACAGACACTTTTGGTCCTGTTGGGTAGTTTCCCTTACATAATGGTACACAGCATCTACCCGGCATTTTAATAACTGAAATGTTTTTATTTAAATTAATATATAAAAGGGAGTAAATAGTTATGTATAAAATATAAATTAATTATTTTTAAATATAAAAGGGAGTAAATAGTTATAGTGTATAGCTAATGGCATGTAAAATTTTAAGAATAAGCTGTGTTAGCTTATATTATAACATCAAATTTATACAGGTCCATAAAAAAATGTTTTATTCTGAAACAGATCAGGTAATATAATTATGCAAAGCCCGTTTATTCTACGATGGGCTGACACAACATTATTCAAAAAGAAATTATACATAGCACAGCAGCCTTGTCTCTACCAGAAATAACACATGTATACTAGAACATACGCCTAAAAACGTTGATATAATTAGAAAAATATAACTTTACAGAAGTAAAGTAATGTATTCTTACCTCTCTAAAATACATCCAACCTTAAAACCATAAAAAAATCAAAGTATTCTGCTTCAGCGTTCGCACAACGTAAGAAGCTTCAGCAATCAGCAAAGAGCCACTGCATGCGTTCCGAAGTTTATTATGACCAGAAGTCGTGACGTCACACGAATTTTCGAACCGCGCGCTTAGGCTTGAAGTAGAGTCGAATTCCACCGTTTTTCCAGGTCCCGGATCTTGAGGTTTTTCCGAAGATGCAAAACCGAATTCAAGTGCAACGCTTTTCGGACACGCCTACTGAAAATACGTCACTACCATAGAGGAATTTTGCGGCTACTCCTGACCTGCCGCAAACTCTTAACAGCGACTGTAAACAAGATGGCTGAAGTGATTTTGCTCAGACGTTTAAGAAATCGGAGAAATGCTGATCGAATTCCTTGGCATTTAAGAGACAGTCGTAATGCTTTTGAAATGTCGGAGCGTGAATTCATCAGTTGATTCAGATTAAATCGGTTTGCTTCAATGAATTGAAACCTTTTCTGAAGGCAACTGCCAATGGATATTCTCTGCAAAAGCAGGTTTGTTTTTACTTCAGATTATGAAAACTGAAATACTTCTGGAAATGTTTCCGAATCAAAGACTATGCTTAAATGACCTATTTGAGAATATTATATATTTTTATACGTAAACACACAAATTTTTAATGTTATTGTATCAGGATTCTTTCTTTTTCATCCCGTTTTTTTTTTCGTAGTAATGATCGAAATCGTTAATTACTGCGAATTTTGGAATGCAGTAATAATATCACCATTAATTTATTGTTTTAATTACTCTAAAACGTAATCTCGGAGAAATTGTTTTTCTAACAGAAATTATGCATATGCCTGTCTTTGAGATATATATATATATATTTGGGATTAGTTTTTTGGAATATTATATATTTTTTCATGGTTTTAGATACGTGCATTTAATTTACATATGCTATCAGAATTTCAGTGATATAGTAAATTAGTTTGCAGCAATAATTAATCTTTGATATGTATGCAATTAAAATTTCATAATTTAAATTAACTTTATATGAATAGAGAATATTTGTTAAATTCAAATTTCATTCTTTGCAGCAATGGCGCATGAGAATTATTTAAATTTAACTTTACTTTTTATTCTTATGAAACAATATATATATATTCTGTAACTGTAGGGGGAAAAAGCATGAATTTTTCTCAGCTGTTTAAACAGTTCCCATGTGTAAAATAGTATTTCATCCCCCAAAATATTAGTTAATTTTCTCCTAATGTATAATGTCTTGCCTGTTCGTACAGTGTGATTAATGTCATGGTAATTTTGGATACTTTCTATAGATCTTGCATAATAACTACACATGTAAGTTATATACACATTCGTAAATCTCTTATGATATGAAAAGTTATTGCAGACTTTCACATAACTATTAATAACTTGATATTCTCGATAACAGGTGACTTACCTTACTTCCGTAGACCATGATCAGAATTAAATAAACTTATAAGGTTATCATACTAAATTACACGAAAAGCAGCATGACATAAATAAATACAAAGAAATTAAATGTATTTACTGTACTAATAGATTATTATATTACATGACATTGGTTTTGCCCATGTATAATGGGAATGAAAGCCAGTTTTCCATAGAAAGTCCTCTACAGAGGCATCTGTTTTCTTAAGCAGATTGCTTTTACCACATTTCAGTGACCTTGATTTAAGTATGAAACTGGATAATATTTTCTTTCTGCATGAAATGTGTTAACTGAGTTTTAGAAATATAAGCCATCTTGCAGTTACTGTGATAATACTAATTTTTGGTACCTCCATATTATAAAACCATACAACACATTGAAAATGTTTTGTTGCTAATGTTACTGCTGTTGAATTACTGAATGCCAGACATTTTGTAAATAACAGTAGTTACATTAATTTTCAAAACCCTATACAATACAAGTTTTTTAATAATAACGTTTTTTTAATTGTATATTTTTTAATAATGAAAAAACAGTGACATATTTTTTTGTTAAAAATGGAAAGTAAACTCCTTAAAAAGACTGATTTATTAATATATCAACTATATTTAATGTTAAAAATCTGTGTATTAAAATTTCAGATGAAACTTTCTTTTGACTTAGGATTTATGTTTTTCTAGGTATGGAATGCTGGTCTGAGGGTTCTCTATGCTATAGGACAATGGCCAGGCAATACTCATGATGCATTTATATGGAGTGGACTGAAACAAAATCTAGATAGTATTTTGTCGCATCGTGCATATCTTTGGGAGATAGTGGATTATATTCCCATTTTATCACGGGAATATCTCTATAATGAGAAGCACAGAAAAGTTCGTGCAGCTATAGAGATCAAATCAAGATTTAGGGTACTGCACGATACTGGTGGAACACTATTGTATTCACAAAGCAAAATATGTAAAATGGTCATATCTGGTGGCCATTTTACATAATATATGCTTAAGGTATTGTGTTGAAAATCCTGAGATTGATGTGTTTGAAGATGATGAGTTGGTACCTTCAGAAAGTTTTCAGTCAGTGCATGTTGAAATTGCATTGCACAATGAATTATCTTTAAATTTTGAAACTCGATAATAAAAACCCAAAGTGGGCAACAATGAACCTCTGGCAAAGGTGAAACCCCCTTCATGGATAATAAAGAATATATTATGAAAAAAATTACTTTCATAATATATTCTTGGGGACCCACAAGCCATGGTTTATATTTAAACCTGTAACTAAATGCACAACCCTAAATGATTTTAATTGATAATAATAATCCTAAATAATTTTATTAGTCCTGGTTTCAAATGCATACTGACAACTTTTATCATTATTGTTCTTCCCTCTGAATTTCTTGTTTCCATCATTTATGTTTAAAAACTCTTGACTACCAGAAATAACTTAATAGGCTTGATATATATATATTTTAGTGTTGGTATGCCAGTCATGATTTACAATAGTAAGTCACTATAAATTAGCATTGCACTTAATTTATCTTAAACTTAGCAATAAGATTTACTGCACCGAAATTCAGTTTCTTCCAAAAAGTCAAATGTTTCCCTTTCGTCCCCTTCCGTGGGACAAGATAGAAAATTTCCATGTGACAATACACATTTAATAGCATAAGAACTTCATGCTTATTTATTATAGTATAAATTAAAACAATTATTTCACTCTATACTGTTTATGTATTATGTTTACTCTATACTGTTTATGTCTTCTTGGGGGTGGGCAAAACAAATATTGGACAGTTCAATTTTCCTCCACCATTCCTGTGAGCGTATTCTTCGATTAAGCAGGGTTTTGCTCCAATTCCTGATTAGCATAATATGTAAAGAATAAACAGCCTATGATTTATGCCTCCATATCCTCTTGTATTATTTAAAGAACATACATTTTTCTTTTAATTCTAGATTTTAAAACATTAAAGTAAGGGAAAGATTGTTTGCTGAATTTAGATTTATATCATCATTACGCATTCACTATAATAACTTACTGCATACTTACCTCAGTGGGTTTGCCATTAAAAGAAATACATTTAAGTAAAATCATGAGTGTATAATAAATTGTTTTTCAGCCAAAAAAAAAAGAGAAGGGGGAAAATAAATACAGTTTGATTCACTTACTTTTTAGTACGCGACTCAACATTGTTATTGTAAACTAGACATTAGCCATACTTTAATAGTTGTCATCTCTCTGTATTTTTAGAACTTCGAAATTAGAATGTCAATTTTATCTGCCATTGTTATGGAGCTGTAGGATATCGAATGTTATTTCTTCAATGATAAAAAGAAATGAAATTTTTAATACCACATCTCATTCATATAACTTATTAACATAATTGAAAAACAATTTAATTCATTTCGTGTTATATCTGAAAATTAAAATTTGTAATACATTGACTAAAGATTCTTACAGGTCTTATTCCCATTTTCCTCCAGGAAAAAGATAATTGCTGTGTAAAATGCATAAATATTTTCACGAGACTTATAATAGTGGTATTAGAATTATTATAATGTTTATGTCATATAATGGATCTGTGAATTTCTTTTAAATAATTTTTATAATCACAAAATTTTATAAAATTAAGAAAGTAGTAAATTTTACAATTAAAATATGAATCCCACACTGCAGAAATACATACAAGAATGAAAACACTGTAATATTTGAAATGCATGATTTATTTTTTTAATAAATTAATAATTATATTTTGATTTTCTATGACAGCAGACTGATTTGCAACTGATTGCTTATACAAGTCACATATTTCACACAGTACATTAATATATTCTTCTGCGTTTCAATTATTTCCTTTTCTGCAGCTGTAATATCATCTCTCTTCCTTTTTTCTCTTCGGTCTCCTGCTTCGAATAGTTGAGCTTCTATCTGAGGGAAAATTTTAAAATATTCATTCAAATTCAAATATTCTTAATTTTTATATTTCATAATGTAAAACACTTTTTATAATTAATTAAACAATGAAACTTCTCTAAAAAGGAACAATTCATAATATTGATTTCTTTAACTTTCAATTTTTTTTTCCCTTTATAATTTTTAAGACTGTTTATAGATCAAGAGGATTTAATGATTATTATTTTAAATTCTTAAAATCTTGTTGTTAATAAAAGACATACTCTGTATATAATGTTCGCAATAAAGAATTGAAATAACTCTTTTGTATGAGAAATATTAATTTACATCTGTTATAATTAATTTATACCAGCGGTTCTCAGCCGGTGGTATGCAAAGAAACAAAATATTTTTAACTATGAAATTCAAAAATCTCATAAAGAAAAGAATAGTTAATAGAAATTTCCTTTGATCGAAATTGACTTGAAGATTTGGAAAATGACACACTTGTTAACTTTTGGCTGAACCGAAAAAAAGAATTTAAAGGCATTTCAAATAAAGCTATCAAATTTGTATTGTCTTTTCGCACAACCTGTTTGTGTGAAAAATGATTTTTTCCATGTTAAATTTGAAATATAAATACTCACCAAAATAAAAAGTGGATCCTAATTTACCATTAAATGAAATAAGAGCAGACATAAAGAAATTAAATATTAAAGTATTATAACTGAAATTTTGATAATCAAGTGAATAATTAATTTAATTTAATTTTGATAATTAAGTAATCATCAGTTTTTAATCTAATAGTTTTTTTATGTGTACATATTTAATACAAAGAGTGTGCAAATGGCAATATATATATATATATATGTTTTTAATATTTCTATTGAGGAATTGAAAAATAATCATTGTAAAATTAGTGGTAGTATTAATGTTTTTCAGTTTTTGCTTAGATGGTACACTACAGTCAAAAGGTTGAAAACCACTGATTTATACCATTAAAGTTTTTCTGTTGGGAGGAAAAGGAAAAGAAGAATCCAGAAAACATTAGATTTTATGTAATAGATACAAACTTGTCATTCCTAAATGCCATTGCAGATTTCCTCGTGATAAAGGTGTGGAATTTTCTAATGTAAAAAAAGAAAAAAGCATAAAATAAGCACAATTTACTCAACAATCTTGACTGAAATATACATTTCAGAGATCATAAAGCAAAAGCACAATATCTTGATTGACATGCTTTCATATATGCATAATCAAAGTTATGAGTTTATATACTATGAGATACTATACATGTTTATAATATACCACGTTCCTGTACACCTAACACCTCGTCCACAATTTTCTATACAATTCATTAAAGATAGTTCCTGAAACATAACTGACTTAAGAGAAACATGCATACTTCTAATTTATGCACAATAATTTGACAAACATTGATTTCAGGTAAAGAGCTACATGTATTATATCAAAGAAAGAATGAATAAGTGTAATTTGCCTTTATCCTACAAATACTTAAAAACATTTACATTAAAAAAATGAATTATACATAATGGTAGCAAATTTTTAATGAAAAACAAAACAAGAGTTGAAAACTTAATGCAGTTTTTGTCAATATTTTACTCTCTTAAAATTTATATAAATGTATAGAAACTTGAAATGCATACCGCATTTGGCTGGAAAACTTGTGGTATTGTGCTGCACTCTAGGGAAAGGGAAAAAGTATACAATGAAGCAATCATAAGAATAAAAGATATTTGCATATTATTGAAACCACCTTAATAAAAGTTACCAAATTTTCAAAAATGTGCCAAACTCTGGCAACGATTATGTATCAAAATTTTTCAGGTAACATGCTCATGACAATTTTTCATTCAAGCAATGTCACCATTTTCATATGTGTTTTCTTATGTTGTATTTCAAGTTCCAATGGATTTTAGATACGAATAGTTGTTTTAGATTAATTTCAGATTTAAAATACTGCTTGTGGAGCTTACCATCAAAAGACGAAGCTGTGTTAAAAGTTCTGCAGGAATAGAACATTTTAGTACAAAAATTTCTAATGGAAACAACTATGAGATGAATTTGGTACATAGACAAGGCATGCAGTATCAAGTTTATGTAATTCTCTGATTTTTTTTTTTTTTTTTTTTTAAGTGAAAACAGATCACTTGGCACAAGTGCTAAAAAATTAGACAAAAAATTTGTGGAAAATGTTTTTTTTAAACTATCATATAATTTTTATTTAATAATTCAAATTAGTATTTTAAAATTTGTTAAATGTTTTTTCCTTTGATATGTTGATAACGTTTTGCCAACTTAGATAAATATTGATAGTTTGGTTACGCTAAAAGCAAGCTGCAAAAACAACATACTTCTCCTGATAAGTATTTTTCTCTTTTCATTTATAAAGACCACCAAACTGATCCAGGTGTTTGTGTTAATACGTAAGTACCAAAAAAATATTGAAGAATGCACAATGAAAGATGGCAACATGTATGGTAAAAGATATAATTAATATATGCAATGAAAGAAATCTTATTAAAAGACGACTTTCATTATCAGCAGAGAAGCATGACACAGTTACAGTAAAGAAATTAAGCTTTTGTTTCTGCACTTGTAGCTTTTAATAGCAAAAAATTGTTTTTTGAAATTTTATGAAATAAATAAATCTGAACATAACTGATATCAAATGAGAATGGGTCCAAACTTTCACTTAAGAAGCAGAAAGTGTACTGTAAATGCACAATATTTTTAATGATTGCAAAACACACAAATTGCATAATACATTGAAAAAATTGAAAAAAAGAAAACACTCATGCAGCCAGCTTTTTCACCTGGATTTAAAAAGAGACTGGGATAGCGGTGTTCAGCAGGCTTATCTGCTTGTAGATAGATGGGCTTATTAATTACTATATAATTCAAGAACTAGTTAATTTTCATATGGTAAACATGCCTACTGTCACTGAAGAATCATGCATCTGCATTAAACAATAAAAATATAACACAAATTTGAATTTTAAATTAAACTTACTATTAGAAGAATTAAAACCAAATGCTGTAATTTGAAAATGGGGAAAAAAATGTGGTTTATATTTGAAAAAGCAAGTATTTTTGTCTGAAAAGTAAAATATATTTTACACACACCTGTTGCTGTAGATTACTTTGGAGGGAATTTTCTATGGGATAAAGTAAATAAAGTTGTACACATTAAAAGAAATGTATTTCTTTCGTTTTCAGGACTGGAACAATTCGTTACACCACACTACAACGCAGTAAACACTTGACCATAAGCTCAGAGAAATCATGGGAACTGATGTTTTTTGTTTACATCGACACGCAGTCTCATTGGATATTGATGTAGTTTATCGGACAAGCTCTCCTGGCACGAGAGCAAACCAGCTCCCCATTGCAATTTTGACGTCATCAGTTACCAGAGCGGTAAAACGTTGCACTTGAATTCGACTTTAGCAGCCGATAGCAGGAACGCCTCTTGCGAGCTAACATTTGCAATTTATCAGAGCGTTGCACTTGAATTCGCCCCTTAGTCGCTCAGTTGTGTAATAAGTTAATATGTAAACACTACGATAGAGCGTGTATGCCTGTGCTTGTATTTAATCACGCTCAACCCCAAGTCAATCTTTAGTTTAAAAACTGGAAGTTAAATTTATTATAAGTAAGGTAAGTAAAGGAAAGTTGTTTTTATACTCTACTTATTTCAACCTAGTTTTTGATTCTGGAATATTGCTTCATTCCATTATAAATAATAGAATTTTTCATTTTATCACTTCTTATTAGTATAATAGTCCGCCGTAGAATGCAGCACAATGCAAGGAACTTTGAGTAGGCCTACTATGGGGTGGTTTGGCCATACTATTGTAAAAAATCTCCAGTAGTAGTCGTAGAAATAGTACAGTCCAAATCACCTTTGGAATAGCTTAATTTTAATCCATACTCGTAAATCCGGGTTTCGTTTTTACAAGTTTAAAATGCATTACTTAACAAATTTAAAATAACTTTTTAGCTTTCTGATAGCATAATAAAAGCGACGGGCGCAAACTAAAATGTATATTTAAAGGTGACGAGAAGAAGGAGAAAACAAGTTTAAATTTTAGTTTGTGCGTGCCCATCGCTTTTATTATGGTATATCAGAAAGTTAAAAAATTATTTTAAACTTTTAAGCGCAATTTATAAAAGCTTTTTTTAAATATTTTTTTTTAGCGAAAAATGCCTGATGGATATAAAAGAAAACACCAAAGTGGACATGAAAAACGCAAAAAGAAAGAGAAAGTGAGTGAGTCGCTTAGTAAAATTAAAGGTTCTTTATTGAAATATGTTAACATTTCTAAGGAGATAGAAGATAATGCAGATGCGGTAGATATTTCCTCGATCGAGGTTAGACCTAAAGAAGCTGAGGATTGTTGGGACTCGCAAGAATGTTCAACCAATAAAACTGAGAATGTCACAGAAGACGAGGCTGACGGGGGTTTACGAAATTTTAACGACGCTTCCAAGCAGGTGGTGCCTGAATCACTACCAACAACATCAGCCTCAAGTATTTTCAGTTCTGATCCAGCACGGTGGACAACCATAAGCGCAGATCTTATCGATTACTTCTCTCGTAATCACCCTGTGCAGAAATTGGATATAAATTTTAAGTTATACGCCACTAAATTTGGCGAAATAATGAGATGTCCATCACAAGATTATTTTTTCAGAAAACTGAACAACAATGATATTATAAAAAGGGACTGGTTGATATTTTCCGAATCTACTGGCAAGTTTTTTTGTTATAAATGTATTTTGTTCAAATCGGACCTACCTGGAAATCCAAACCTGTGTAACCAATTCCTTACAGGCTTTAATGACTGGAAAAACGCACATTCGAGAATTTCAAGTCATGAAGTGTCAAAAGAACATTTTGCATCTATTTCTGCTTTAGTGAACTACCAACAAACTAGAAAAATTGATGAGACGTTTGATATTGTCAAGGAAAAAGAAAGCACATATTGGACAACGGTTTTAAGAAGAGTAGTGGAAGTAATTAAGTTTTTTGGCCGAAAGGGGACTAGCGTTTAGAGGCGATAATGAAATACATGGTGATCCTAGTAATGGCAATTTTCTTGGGTGTATCGATCTCTTAGCCAAATTTGATCCGTTTCTAGAAGAACATGTAAGAAGATACGGTAATCCAGGCCGCGGAAAAGTATCATATTTATCCTCCACAACGTATGAAGAACTAATAATTTTACTGGGGTCAAAAGTATTGGAAAAAATAGTTACAGAAATCAAAGAAGCCAAGTATTATGGAATCACTGTGGATTCTACACCTGACGTTAGCCATACGGATCAACTCTCCATAGTTATTAGATATGTCTCAAAAACTGGAGATATATATGAAAGATTTTTGATGTTTGTTAAAATAGAAAAACATGATGCCAAGTATCTTTTTGACACTCTAATTTCAGTTTTAGAAAATCAGGGAATAGACCCAAAATTTTGCAGATGTCAGTCTTATGACAATGCGGCTAATATGAGCGGAGTGTATTCGGGAGTACAAACTAGATTTAGGGAAATCAACAGCGCAGCCACTTTACCATGTGGAGCTCATAGTCTTAATCTAGTTGGCACAGCGGCGGCAGAAAGCTGCTTAGAAGCTGTAAAATTTTTTGAAATTTTGCAATCGCTCTACAATTTCTTTGCAGCGTTCCCTCAAAGATGGTCTAAACTAAGGTCTTTGGGAAGTAAAATTTCTGTAAAAAGACTTTCAGAGACCAGATGGTCAGCACGTTATGAGGCTGTAAAAACATTATGTGCCCATTATGATGATATACGTGGTATTCTTACAAATATTTCAACTAGTGAAGGTATGAAACCTACAACAGTGATTGAGGCACAAACCTTAATCCATCAAATGAATACTTTGGAGATGGTATTACTCACAGTTATTTGGGAAGATCTACTAAAACACGTCGATATTGTAAATAAATCTCTTCAAGAACCTGGCATCGAGTTTTAACACGATGGTGCGACTTTACGACAGTTTAATTCAATATTTATCTCACTGCAGAACTGAGGACATGTATAATAGCTATTATCTTAAGGCAAAAGCCCTTGCACCAGATTCAGAATTTAAAGAATCCGAAACTAGAGTTCGTAAGAGAAAACGACAGTTCGATGAAGGGCCAGATGAGACTCCCTCTCGCAGTGCCAAAGATTCCTTTAAGATTAATGTTTTTTTTATTGTTCTGGATGTGCTTTGCGCTGAAATGACAAAGAGACGCACTGCGTATACCAGCCTTTATGACACATTTAGTTTTCTTACGGATAATACACTGACCGAGGACATTATCAAGGTTAAGGCTCAAGCTCTGGTAAAAATGTATCCGTCTGACTTAGAAGAAAACTTTGTTGATGAGTATTTGATTTTTTCAAATTTGTACCCCAAAACCACCTCTATAACGGATCTCATCAAATTACAAATAAAGGATAAACTTGTGTCAAGTTTCCCAAATGTTAATATTGCATTGCGCATATACCTTTCGATATTGGGTTCGAATGCAGAAGGAGAAAGATCATTCTCCAAGTTGAAGCTTATAAAAAATTTTATGCCGTTCAACTATGGGTCAAGAGAGAACTTCGTCACTGGGCCTTCTGTGTATTGAAAGTGATGTCGCTCGCGGCATTAATTTTGAAGATATAATACACGAATTCGCTGTGTCAAAATCCCGAAAAAAGGAGTTATTTTAGGATCTACTTAGTAAACCAAACGTTTTGTATTCGTATTTTTTGTGTATTTGTATTTACATATATTATTTTGACCTTCACTATATAATAATATAAAAATGTTTATAAGTTTTTGGGGTATTTTTATTTCAATATATTTTTTTTCAAAGCCCTAAGACCTTTGGGCTTCGTAGGCCCTAAGCACGTGCCTACTGTGCCTAATTGGTAATCTGGCCCTCGTAACGGATATTAAGAAAAGTACTCTTCATTACAAGGTGCTGTCTTAAATGTCAAAATAATATTACCGATGATAGTTTTCTGCCAAAAATGCATTAAAGTAAACAATTTGCCTAGATAGTTATCTAGCATCAATAATTAATTAATTTCTGAATTGACGTTATACACAACGTTTATGTACCGACTGGAATTTATGTTGATGCTGAGTGAAACTTCCATAGACCTTCGCTGTGATTTCGGCTCCCATATGGAGCCATATGACTTTCCATCCCGTTTGAGGATTCAGTGCCGAGGTTAGAGAAGGTTATTTTTTATTCTACTCCCTGGATTCTAGGTTCACGGTTCTCTACTTCAAAATGATTTTTGCTAGATTATGCGAGATAATTATCTAGGATAGACTACAATTTTAGACTAAGTGAAGGATCACAGGAAATAACTTCAAATAAAATTTCCAACTGAGAGATAAAAATAACTTTCCAACTGAGAGCAAGTCACATTATAAAATCCTAACTATAGTTCTCTATAAGCTGTGCACACACAGGCTTTTCAGAATTTTAGGGCATAAAGAAAATTACACACAAACATGCCATTAATCAAAATAAAGTTATAATAATAACTGAAGTTTAACACTACTTTTAAAATAAATCTTATTAAATATGTTCGTTGAAATTACTTCATACAGCTGAGTTTTCTCTCCTATTCATAGCTGTTAAACTTGATATATGAAAAACTGGAAGATTCTCCCAAATAAATTGGGAGTTTCCACATTATGTAGCATCGTCCTTTTAAAAGAACTCCCAGCTGACTTAAATTCATTCATACTCAATGCACAACACAAGTTACGGAATTATTTATAATATGCTTCTGATGCAAAATATAGTAACATTTGAGAAATATTCTAAATTTTTTGTTTATATGTTTCATACAAGCGGAAGATGTTGACTACCTGCCATTCAGATTGGAATGATTTTTTTAAAATTTTACTTTACATGCTTTTTCGTTTCTCTTGTTAAAGTCTTGCACACTCTTGTTCGTTTCTCTTGTTAAAGTCTTGTCTTCGTTAAAGTCTTGCACACTGCAGCCGGACTCCGGGATATCTGACCGAATTTGGAACTAATAACTGTATACCACTTATTTTAATATTTATATTAACAGCATTATACTTTATAGAGCTCTGGAATAATATTCCCTTGCATTTGTTAGGGTTCAACTTGATTTTTCAAATTTTACGCCAGTGAGAAATTTAGTACAGTTTCAAGTTTTGATGACATTTTAACAGATGATACTCAGTCTGACTCGAGGAGATACGTTATAGTGAATGCGGTCCTTCAATCAACAGCCAAAGCAGACAATATGGAAATGGACAATAGTGAAACACATCAAGCTAGTAACAGCAGGACTGTTACTAGGTTGATGACTTATGATGATAAATGACTTGAATCAGAACAACCGTCTTCAAGAAAATATTTTGTTTAAAAAGTGCATGGTTCTAAGAGAAATCTTTTTCATCCGTATAGCAGAAAGAGATATGCAGCAGCAAAAGAAATAGTTTTTTTTTTTAATTTCCGGCTGCTTTGCTTTGTTTTTGAAAAATATATACATATCATTTATTTATAAGTAATGCCATTCAGCTATTTGAAAGATCATCATCAAATGAAAAACATATGGTAAAGGGCTTTCATAAAACAAAAAAGACATTTGAAACAAGTATGGATAAAAGATGAAATGCTTGGAATTTTGTGGAAGTTATATATTGTCTGAACAAGATGGTGTACTGCATATTGCCATTGTCATTAAGAATTCCTTTCGTCAATTTTCCCCTTCATTCATTTTAAATTTCTCTGTGCCATTTTGCTATTAATTGCTGTGCATAATGCATTCCTATGACACTTACATGCTGAAAGTAATCAGTTATCTACAACATTTAAGCCTCCTAGAAAACACTGTCTAATGATACTGAAATATGAAAATTCTTGCTTGTAAGGAAAGAGGCATGTTTCAGTGTCATGATGCATTATTTCGTCTAGGATAGTAGTTCTCAACCATTTTCGCCCATGCACCTAAAAAGCTAAAAAGCCCATGCACCTAAAAAGCGCCCATGCACAGCTAAAAAAAACATCCCACTTCTATGTAAAATTTAAAAAATATATATACACATTTATTTAGATTTAGATTATTTTCTAATGTGTTTTATATATTAAACAACAAAAAGTTTAGAAAATGTTGGTAAATACCAACACTTGAATAAAAGTAACTTTTTATATTCTTAAACTAAAACTTAATATTTAATAGCTAAATAAAAGACTGACTGCATACCCCCTGAAAACTATGAAATTCGCCTCTAGAAACCTCTCACCCGGTTTAGTACCACTGCTCTAAGAGTCATGGATCCATCTCGAAGTTGCTGATTCATATTTCCTTCACAGTCATATGTCTATGTGAATATCCTTTTCTAGCCTATTCAAACTCTGACAAAAGTGATTCTATAATGTTCATACTGTATGTTTTCTGCACTTTCATTAATATTCTGGCTGTTTATCAAGCTGAAACTTTTCCTATTATGAGATATTTTTTTTTTAAAATAGATTCTGGTCTATTAAATGAAATAGCCTCAATTTCTGTTACATGTCTAATAATAATTTATATACTTGACACCACATTTTTTCCAGTTTGGCAAACATTTCCTCAATTATTCCATATGCAAATATAGACCTCAGCCCGAATCAGCTTCATGCAAAAATTTTCCAGTACTAAATTCTGATGCATGCAAGTTATCTGTTTCGTTTTAATCTATGATCAAACAATTTATGTGAATGTTCAAAAAGAGTTCCTCAGGATGTGGAACATTTGATTTTCTCGTGCCCTACATTTGATGGCCCTAGATTATGCTTACAGAACGATTTGAAAATGTTCGGAGTGACTTGGCCAGTGAACTTATCTGTTTTCGTGAAGTCCAGACTGCTGTTCTCTGCTTTTGTTCACTTTATTTATGCATGTAATTTTTAATGTTTATTTATACATGTAACCTTTAATGTTCTAGTTAACTTACTTCTGTAAGCCCCGTGTTGTACATATGTGGTGCACGGGGAGTCTGTATGTTCTCAAAGGAAAAAAAAAAAAAAAAAATTCTGATGCACATATGCAACTGGTAAAATAAAAAAAGGTACTATTTTCTAAGATCTCACACAAATGCTTATATGCTTATTAATCAGCATGTGCTTCAAGCATAAGTATGATCTCGTATATCTTTGGATTTTAGGCGGACATGGTCCAGAGTTGAAGTTAGAATGGAATTTTTTTTTGGGCGGGGGCTAAAGCTTATACAGTTATATAATATTACGTAAAAGTTATATCTAAAACTGACAAAATTTTACTTTCCTTTCTACAGCTTTGGTCATGGGAAAGACACAAATCTATTAAACATATTTCAAATTACACACATGCATATTTTCCAAAGACCAGCTCTTTTGATGAGAATTTAAATAACCAAAGTGTAATGCATTTGTATTTCACTATATTTTGTATACTTTGACAAGTTTTATTAATTTTATAATACTTTTGTTTACATGAAAGGGGTTAATTAGGTTTTAAATGCATTTAGAAACAATATACAGTTAACTATACTATTAAAGTTTTATTCAATAACAAAAATGTATTTTAAAGCTAAAAATACAATGTTTGAGTTTTGATGATTTCTACTAGTTAGCTACACACTAATCATTACCTATCAAATAAATATAAAATACCTCTACCATATCTACAAAAATAAGTGAAAGCATTTATTTTAAATATGACAGAGATAATTGTACCGCCCAAAGAATCTGTTTGCATTTTGTTACAACTGCTTCAGCTATGCCTAAATAAATTTTATTTGATAGCATCAATCTGCTGGAAATCAAAATATCCCCCCCCCATAAACACACAGGCAACTTAAGCAAGATGCCCTGAGAAATTCACTGTGCCTTTACCTGGTATCAAACACAGAAGTTCAGAATATTTATGTGTTAATGATTGCACCACAACTATACACAGGAGGAGTGCTTTATTATAATCCTATCCTGCTATATACTGACTACCAATAAGTATTTGGACACCTGTGATAGAAAAGAAAACCTAACTTTATTCAAATTCAATAGTTGGCAGAGCCTCTACAAGAGGTAATTACAGCGTGGACCCTCCGGGGGCATACTTTCCACAAGTCTTTGTATGACAGCTAGTGGTATTTTCTTCCACTCGGCTTGGAGAAGACATAGAAGTTCATTCACCGATTTTGCATGGGTAGTGCACCCCTGAATTCGGCGATGCAACTCGTCCCAGAGGTTCTCGATAGGGTTCAGGTCTGGACTCTGGGCAGGCCAGTCCATTCGATGAACTCCATTGGCACCATACCAAGACTTGGTTAACGCTGAAACATGACAACTGGCATTGTCGTCCTGAAAGTAGCAGGGGTCCAACCTGTAACCACAACGTAGGAAGCATATTGTCATCCAAAATAGTGCAGTAGGCATCGGAGTTGAGCTTACTATGAATGGGGACCAAGGGTCCTAGCCCATACCAGGAGAAACACCCCCAGACTATAATTCCACCTCCGAACTTGGTTGGCACAATGCATTCTGGCAGGAGACGTTCTCCAGGTAGACGCCAGACCCAGACCCTGCCATCCGAATGGTAAAGGGTGAACCTTGATTCGTCACTCCAAAGAACCCGTTTCCACTGATCTATGGTCCAATTTCGATGTGCTTTGGACTTAACCGAGCAGCGCGGTTAGACTTTGTGATCAAAGGCTTATGGGCAGCAGCACGACCATGAAAACCAAGCAGATGTGCTTCCTTACGGATGGTATTCATTGAAACAATACTTCCGGATGCCTGTTGAAACTCCTCGTGGATGAGGGCCATCGGTTGGGTGCGGTTCTTCCGAATTTCTCTGGACAGCACTCGTCGGTCTCTATCTCCCAGTTTCATTGGTCTGCCGACTCGGGGCACATTCCGACAATAACCGCTCACCTTCCACTTCTTAATCACATAGGCCACTGTCGATTTTGGGTACTTCAGATCGCTAGATATGTCCCTTAAGGATCGGCCACATTTGTGAAACCCGATAATTATACCTTTCTCGAAATCAGAGAGCTCCGAACTGCGAGGCATCTTGCATGCGACTAAAGCCGATGCTGTTTCCTACATGATATATACCGGCGGAGTCCATGACGTACCTTAGGACCGCAGATATCGTCATTTGCATAGGTGTCCAAATACTTATTGGTAGTCAGTGTACAAGGGAATGATCAACAGTTGACCAATCTCAGTTGGTGATAAATTAACATCTACCACTTTTTATCTCAGCACAAAACATAGACCTAGACATTGTTACAAATAATAAACAATTGCCATTAAAAATGCAAAAAATTCGCTGTGCCCTTAGCTACATGGGACCTTCCAGTAATGAGCTTGGTAAATCAACTACATACTGTAAGAATTTCTTAAACCCTTATAATGCTACATTAATTTATAATTTAAATAAATATTGATGTATTTTCCTTTTGCTTCACTTTTTTTAGGAGGAACAATAGCTTTCCCTGTGAAGTATTATTTTTATCTCTTTTCCTAAACATATGTATACATATTTATTGCATTTACATCGACCACTTTATATCAAACATACTTACATATGGATAGGAAAAAGACTGGCACATTCAGTGAGATCGATTTTTTAATTAGTCATATGGAAATCATAAATGTGATCACAGGTGAAGAACTAATGTTCTGTTGTTATGTTCTCAATTTGATCTAACATGAAGAGATTAGTTTGACAGATATATTAACATGAAAAATAGCATCATATTTTTATTATCAGTGATATGTGCACATAATTACAAAATAACTATATTACTCTATAATGGAAGGATTAATCATTTGAAAAATATTTCATTCAAATATATGGGTATGAATCAAAATATTCTGAAACTGAAACAGCTATATATATATATATATATATATATATACTAATGCATATTCTTTATGTCCTATTTATATAGGTCTGTTAAATTGTTCCTATTTATATAGGTCTGTTAAATTTTGTAATCACATTGCTAGAAAAAATCTACATGGGAAGACTGGAAGTTAAATTACTAACTATAAAAATACAAATATGATTTCTGAATTTTGAATTCTGAGTTTATTAAAGCATTATACAATGCTTAAAATGCACAATTTTTTGATAATTTATTTACACTTTCTATATTTTTAAATACTGAAATATTACTAAAAACAAAAATAAATACTGAGTCACAATAACAAAGAGTATGCAGGGGACTACACTCATTTCAAATGAATAACATCATTTTCTACATCTTCATTTAAAACTAGTTTACTAATTATGTTTGAGCTAAGGATTACTTACCTTTCTTTTAAGGCCAAATATGTCACATACAAATACTTTTAAAAAATGTCATAAAAGAAAAATATATTCACTATGAAAAGTCTTACAAAGAATACGGTGACTGCATTAATTTTTCTAAATCTCAAACACTCACTTAAAAAACTTATGGTAACTTAGAATTTTCTCAAATGCTATGAAATTTTTAATTTCTCTAAATATAAAATCCTCAGATAAAAGCAGATCCTTTTCAAAATCTTAGATTTGTTAAATGTTTTATCTAGATCCTATAGTAATGTCACAAAAAGATTTTGCATATTATTTTTAAATTCCATAGATCATAAAATACTGAAAAAATCTTGAAACATTCAGAGGCCATTTTGAATAGGTTTATATCAATATATACATATATACTTTATTTTAAATATAGCTACATTTTCAACATTTCAACTTTGAGGCCAATTTTCTTAATAACATCTTGAGACATACAGAAAACAGGGTTAACTTCTTTGATCTTTGGCTCTCCAAGAAGAGACAAACCGGCTATTCCAAATAAGGTGTGAAAAGGGTCAACCTGAAGAAGGAAACAGGAAATACAAATGAATCTATATCCTCTTTAATAAAATATTATATCTAAAATTGGCTAATAGCTATAATATCAAAAATGAATAAATATGTGATAAAGCATATTTCACTGTCGTTACTGCAATGGGATGTATTAAAAAAAATCTGCTTTAAATAATTAGGAATCATTCAATAGAAAATAATATCTATTTTCACGTAAAATGCTATATGTAGTAAGGGCATGAGTATATTGAAGTATCTTTCATGTGGTTTAAACTCTTACAAACCTATGCTGCTTTTTATTAGTACTATCATAATCAACTCCTTTTTTTGTTTTGGTGGGGAAGAACAACCTATTGCAGCAACAATGACAATATATGGTAAAGTAACATCTATTACTTAAAAAGGGTTAAAAAACACTGCAAACTGGAAGCTTAAGATTTCACTTTAATACCTCAATCAGCTTACCATTAAGGTTTCAAAAAGTTCAAAAATTAAAAAATGTAAAAGTTCAGAGATTAAATAGGAACTACAATCTGATTCTGGTATGCAGATTTCAGTTTAATACTTGACACAATTTCATAAGCGATCAGCCATAGCCTTAAACTCTTACACATTTAGCACCACCAGGGGGCACGTGTGACTTTAAGAAAGCCACAGACGTGAATAGCATTACCCCGGGAAAATTAAATGCAAAATAGACAAGTGGGTATCCTTAGAACTCATTTCTCCAGTCGAGATTTGCAAAGGCCTTTTGGACAATTTAAATCTCAGTATTCCTGTTGAAAATATTGTAGACGTGCTGAAGTTTTTGGAAATATCCTATAATCTAAAATTGGCTGAAATTAGAAAAAAAAAAAAAAAAAAAAAAAAAAAAAAGACACACTAGATTTTTTCTAAAAACAAATGCTTTGTCACTGTTGGACGATAACTATCCTGAACCAGAATAGATACTAGTATTTACAAATGGCTGTAGAATGAATAATGCTGCTAGTGCAGGTCTATATTGTAAACTATTTTCACAGTTATGCTCCAGAGAGTCCACATTTTTCAAATTTTGATGCAGAAGTTCATGCAGTTTTTTTAGCTGTGTCTAATTTGAATTCGAGAATTGAGTTTTTTGCAAGTCATTTTTGTTGATTCTAAGTCGGTTAAAGAGGCAATAGCTCTTCAACACCACTCGGAGCATCCACTTGTCTCCTCCGCCTCTCTCTTGAGTTAAACCTCTCTCTTGAGAAAGGCCTCCTCTCGAGTTAAATAAAACAAGATATCAGGAAACTAAATAGGAACTGTAAAACAATAGTGCAAACCATCCCATATAGATATTGATGATAATGGATGATAATGATAAAGCAGATCTCTTGGCAATGAGAGGTATGGATTTATTTATTGAACAGAACTCCATTCTTTTGGATTCCCTTAGAAGTATTCAATAGAATCTTACAGCTTACAATACAGAACTATCAATTAAATCAAAAGGTAAACTCTGGGAGAATAACAGGAATGATTGGAATGAGTTCAGTTGCAGGCCACATAGAGAGGCTGTGGCTAATTTCAGACTGTGTACAGAACACGACTGCTTTGTTGACCATCTCAGCAGAATAGCATACTGACTTATAGCCAATGCCCTATTTGTAAAACAGACACTATGAATAAGCAGCACTTGCTCATCGCTCTGGAGCTTAACCCTATGTTACAACATAGAGGTGATGTTCTCCAGCTGTATTGGATGGAAAGTGATCGTATGACCTGAGCACACAGTTGTTTTGCCTCTAATCACTGAGGATTTTTAAAGATTTTAATTTAGAAATTTTTATATCCTAATTTTCTTGTACTGTAAAGACTTGAATTTTAGTGCTGTAATTCTCAAGTGTTTTTAAGATTTTCGTAATTTTTTTTTTTTCGAGTAGCCTGATATAAACAGGACTTAGAAGAGAAGGGCTAGCTAATACAGCTTTTCCTCCTGAAGCAGAAAGTGAGAAGTGATGACGTAGTCATGATGACACTGAGCGCGGAGATGCAATTCACAACACAGAAATTAGCATTTTTGAACTAGCGTTTAAAATGAGTTGTGTGTGAAAGATAGCTATAATTTGGAAGAGACAATGTTACTGCTGTATGCATTTTACACTGAACCACTAAAAAATTTACTAATACTTACTCAATTTTAAAATAATAGATAAAATGCACTACTCTTTTAACTTAAAGTTCCGTGGATTTTTTTTCTTTTTAGTTGCAGGTTTTTTTTTATTTAATGCACATTTATTTGTAATCATTTCTTTATCTGCATGCTAACTGAGAGAACTTTTATACTGCTTCTAAGATAACTATAATAGCAGCTATTTAAATTTACTCAAAAAACAACTTTACATTGATACAGTTTTAAACATATATGACAAAATTTCTGCTAATCTAATAATGTTTGAATGCTATGTTTGAATTTTTGCCTAATTGTAAATTTTACATTAGCATATTTCTCTTCCGATTCAATATAATAATAGGTATTTTAAAAATAATTTTTTAATTTATACTTACATCTATATTACAATTAAATAAATGTATTAAGATTGTTACTTTAATTTTGACAAAATAGGTTTACTCACAGTATCTAAAACAGTATTTAAATTTTTCAAAAGTGTGAGTAAAGGAGGCAGATCTTTTATGCCAACTATTTTGATGTTTTATACAACTATATTTTATCTAAAATGCTAATCTAGTACAAAATCGAATCAATAACTAGTTACAAAGGATACAATAAGAATAACTTTAACAAGTACTTAACAAATTAGTTTATTAAGTACTTGTTATTCTTGTTGGTACTATTCATAATACCGAAGGTATTATTGATTAACTCATAGAAGTCAGATACTTTTTTGATTTCCTGTGAGGTGGAGTAAACCTTTTGCAGTAGTACTTGAAAATCATGTTTTCACTGAAACGACTTTTTATCTCTCGTTTCCCTTGACCATTAGATAATTCAGTTTCAGTTTGTGACACAATTTGGTTTCTTCCGAATCTCTATATAAAACCTCTTTAATAATATAAAAATTTAAAACAGTTCCATCTTCTAAAAAAATCCTTTATCTAAAACGTGGTTTCTCAGTAATTTGAGGCAGAGCCCGAAATGAGATCTGTGATTAAAACAAACTGCACATTTTGAAAAGAACTGAGAACTTGGTCCGGTTTAGAGTCATAGCAGAGTTAAAATCTATATGCATTTCGTCGAAACTGAGAATGCATATTTTTTCAACAAAATTCAAATATTCGCCTCTTTCCTTCTTTAGAGTAAGACATCACTTTGAATTCTTGGACTACACTAAAATTTAGCGCAACATTTCTTTAATTTGCTAATACTAGGTAAAAGGAATTCCAATTTTTTTCTTTCCAAAAATCATAGCTTTAAGATTACAGAGCTCTTATGACAATGCAACGTGAAATATCTTCACTAGTCCACCTGATTTTTTCCTTCTTTTTCAGCAATGCATTAATCTGCGTCTTTATAAAATAAGGCTTTACACGTTTTTCCAAACTGTTCGATTTGTGCTTTCCTTCTCCAGAAATTTCGCTATTTGAGATTTTAATTTCTGATAGCAATTTCTTTCTAGATGTCGTCCATCTTCTTTGTCGCTGAACAAACATTCTAAAATATTTCTAAGGATATTATTTTGTTCTTCAAATTATCAATGCATTCTTGTTTATCCTTAAACTTAGGGCATTCAGGAATATCTACATTTTTATTTGTGAGTTTTATTTCAAAATCATTAACATTTGATTAATTATCATCATCACGAATTTTGATTTATTACTGTCATCATAATTTACTTTCAGCACAGCATTCCATTTCAACAGTTTCTTTTTGTGGCTATCCAAACAAGTGATTTTTCATATAATTTTCATAAACACTGCATAGAAAATGTTCACTGCAGATTTTTCCGCTCTTCACATTAATAGAATCTTGTTTTTGACATGTGTGTATCCATTCTTTCATTAAAAGCAAATTCTCATTTGGGTCCTTTGGTCCCATGAAATAAAATATCTCATCCTTTTGTCCTTCTATAAGTGCTACGGCACAAAAAGCCATATTACATAAACAATACAATATAGAATTTTAAATAAAAACTGACTAAAATTATATATACATTATTAGAAAAGAAATGTATATGATTAAAATTAATTTGAGATATGTAACCTCCAGAAAATCGTCTTGCAGCTGAATGAAACTACAGTTTTTAACACGGGAAATCAGAACAGGTGCATCACAGTAATGTCAGATTACTGCCGGTTAAGTCCCCCCATTAAGCTCCCGTCGGCGAGGAGTTGAACAAAGAAATGAACTAGCCTTTTCTATTTATCCCTGTGATGTAAATGGATTGATTTCCGAATACAGCCATAAGTAGCAACAACTTGACAAAATTTTAAGATAAGCAGTTACAAAAACGAAAGGTCTATCAGTTTAAGAATTAGTCTTTCAGAAATCAATGATAAAGAATACTAAATCTCACATTTGAAATGATTTGTTCAAAACAGCAAATCCAAACAGTAGGGAGGTGGTTATTACATTATTTTATCACCAACTAATGGGTAATGACTTTGATCTACCACATTTTTTTGCATTATATATTTCTTAGATAGTGGTACTAAAAACTATTTTTAAATATATATAATAAAAAAAAAAAAAAAAAAAAAAAAAAAAAAAAAATGCAAATAACTAAAAATACATATATAAAATTTATTCCATTAATTAACTTAAGTTTTAATTCCATTAAATTTAAATTTCAGTAGCTTAATAAAACGAAAAATTCAATAATTTTCATATTCAAATATGTGTTAAAATGGGGGAAAATGAAATGATTAAAAGAACAAAACTTTTAGTGCCACCATCTAAAAATAAATAAATAAATAAAGCCAGTAGATTGCACATTACATCAATACTAATTAATACCACTTGCAGAACTATGCAGGGATTTGTTAAAGAAAATTTAATTGTTCAGGCATAGTTGCGCCTTTATT